CGTAGGTGATCTAATTCTTTCATCTTTACAAGCGAGATAATTGATGAAAATGGAATTGATTGCCTCTCGGATATCAGCGTTTCCTTACTTTAGTAACGGGGTCATGTTTAAAACGTTGGTTTCCTATATCGAGTAAGGTAGTACAGCTATCACTTTCTGTGCAATCAGAAAATGTACCTTTCTTGAGGAAGGTCTTTTAGTTGTGTGATAAGTCCTGTACACATGCTTTCGTTTTTGCCTTATAAAGATAGTTGTTGAAATAAACCTCGGAAAAAGTAAAAACAAGAACCGTGGTTTCGAAGTCTCCGTAATTCCGGCGTTTTATAATTGAACTGCCTCGACTTATAAATGGAAATAGTAGTTATGGAGGGAAATAGTAGAATCGGTAGCGGCTGCCAAGTTTTTGTATGATCTTTTTCTTTTCCGCTGCAGATAACAGCCGGGCACTTGGCAAGGCGCGGAATGGCGTGTATTTTAGTAATAAGACAGATTCGAAGGTAACCTCAGAATAAGTTGTCATTCGAGGCAGTGGTAAGGAAGGACGCCACTTCTTATGCCAAGAAAATGCTTAAAACACCGATCATTTGATAAATCTCTCACCGTGAAACTTTAGCAGTTCATTTTTCGTATGGCTTGATGCAGATATGACTGATATCTTGTTAGGATGCTTGGGAGTTTGCTGTTACACTGGCTTGTTTCTTAATTTTGTTTGCTTAATAAAAGGAATATTTTTCTGAATAAGGAAGCATCTACTGTGCGATGCCTGCATGTGTGTATGTATGTATGTGTTCTTTATTGAAGCATATTTATTTCAAACATTTAGGAAAAGTAATCTGCACGTGGGGAGACTAAAATTTAATGATTTGACATGGCTACTTCCAATAAAATCAATTCAATTTATTTTGAAGGTCTTGCATCGTACATTTAGTAGCTACAATGTCGCCGATATACCGTAGAGATAGAATGCCAGCATCACACCATACTACCCCAGTTCTATTTTACATGATTCCGCACTACTGGTCAGCATCTTAAAACGATTGCTCCACTTAGAGATACCATACATTAGTCTATAAATTGACGGGGGTTCCTTTTTCGCGACTATTCTCTGATCATTTTTCGAAGCATAGACAGGCGCCCATGTAACCGAAGGGCACTCAGATTTGTGAAGCAGAGGCACACTGATTGAAAGTTCCCTTCGATTTTCTGACTGGCCACAAATGGTCATGGCCTGTCAGCAGCGACTCTCTCAACTGCGCCGTTGCATCTCAGTAATCACCGTTGCTAAGTGTCATTGGCACGAGAAATCAACACATGTTTTCGACGTTCTCGTACTCTCATCGTGTTCTTACTCCGCCATTGCTATTCCGGGACACTGGTCGAGTCTGACATTTTAGATGCTCGTATGATAGTTCAGATATTACCTGGAGCCGATGTTTTCTATATGTACCCCATATTTTAACATATAAGAATTTCTTTTGCGTTTTAAAAAGAAAAACGTTTGAACCTTAAAGATAATCTGTATCAACGATAGGTAACAACCCGATTCTTGCACTTAAACGAAAAGATGGTTCTAGCAACTTTGAAAGCTTGACACTGTTCCCACAAGAGGAAAGTGGTAGAAGACCATAAGTTATATCGCGGAATTTCGCCTATCGTGGTTCTTGTTAACCATCGAGGTGGATAAAAATTTTTTTTGATTTATGTTTTGTTTTTATATGCATATATTGCGTTGCATTTAGTCAATGGCTGCTGGAATAATCAAGGGCAAACTGATTGCTGTGATCGGCGACGAGGAGACGTGTGTAGGCTTCCTTCTGGGTGGTGTTGGCGAGTTGAATAAGGCGCGAAAGCCGAACTTTATGATTGTCGACAAGACCGTCAGCGTGCAAGACATCGAGGACTGTTTCAAGGCATTCTGCACCCGCGACGACATCGGTATCATTCTGATCAACCAGCACGTGGCGGATATGATCCGCTACACGGTCGACCACTATACAAAGAACGTGCCGGCCGTTCTCGAAATCCCGTCTAAGGACCACCCATATGACCCGTCCAAGGACTCTGTACTGCGCCGCGCCAAGGGCATGTTCTCCACCGACGACTTTCGATAAATCAACTATTCTGGTGGTGATGGACATCACTCTGTGCGCTTCTGACCCTCGGGAGCTCACCGTCGTCAGAACCTTTCGAGATACTGGGAAATCATTCAATTCAAATCGTATAGTCCTTCAGTTTGATTAGATCTGGTCGATGTTTATTAGCAGATTGTGTTTTGTCTTTTGTAATTGCTTATACTAGAGTTAACGTATGATTTTTCTAATTATAAATCGTGCAGTCCACTTTATAGCCTTGTATTTTTTAATTTGTTCATGTTGTTGATCGACTTCATTTTTCGACGTTTCGGTTCATGACTGCTATAGATTGTTGTTGTTCGGTCGTTCATGATGCTGATTTCTGTTGACTGATCCTGTCATTTATCGTAATCATTTATACGATCACAAATCTCTTTCGTTTGTGTAAAGTCTTTTCGAAAATTAGCGAGAAAAAGTTTGTATCCAATTGTTATAGCTTCTTAGTGTTATTTCAGCACGCCAACGTTATTTAATCTATCCACGTTTCTGAAAAGAATGACTTTGTATATGCTACATCTTAAAATTTTCGTATTGATACAGTGATAAGTTTCAGTTGGTCATCTTGTTAAAAAAAAATACTTGTTTCTGTTTTATTGCTGCATCATATACAGCATGAGGATTATCAAATTCGCCGTTTCTGGCGTCGTGCGCGGAAGGCAGAGCAAACTAGAACTGAAGCAGCCATGGCAGCCAGTCTTGACTCTAAAGGGCCCTGCTGTTGCAGATGATTTCAACAGCACCGATCTTCACTGTCACGATTGCTTCGGTTAAAGAGCGTGAGGTACACGTCGTAATGTCACTCAGTTTATCATCGTATAGTTTACCATATTATATTGTGTCAAAATGGCGTGACTGGAAATAACAAGAAAAGATGAGAAGATAAATGCGTAGGTAGTAGTACAAATAAATGCTTGCGATATCTTCATTAGGGTGAAAATCGTAAAGTGACAATGGACAGGAAATGTAACAATGACCAATAATGGTTGGATCAGAAAGGCGTTAGATTTGTTTTCATTAGTTAACAAACGGTCAGTAGAAAGATTAACCGATCGATGCAAGAATCAGTTGAAGTAGTTCTCTAGGTCATGATGGATGAAGATAAAAAACTGAAGCTTAAGATGACTTGTATAAGCCTTTATCCAATAGTTAATGGAAAAGAGCTGCTGATCAAACTGAATTTGAGTAGTATTTCTGAATACCAATTGACAGAAAACTCGTTCAAGATCAACTTTCGTGGCATATTATCCCTTCATTTTGACCCTAGTTGTTTTCTCTGGGATACTATGGGGTCATAGTCATGTAGTGTTTATGGTTCTGGGCGCGTCTTCCGTCATTAGTTCAGTTTCATAGCAATTGATATTTTTCACCGCAGTTCTTTTTAAAAGTAAATAATACATATTAAGATTTAGGAAATATGCAGGGGTACGAGCTACTGAAATGGGCTTTCTTAGACGAGTCGCTGGCCTTACGCGTCTAGACATAATCCGGAACAGTGACATCTGGAAGAGCCTTGGAATACAGCCTTTGCTTCTCCAGATTGAGAAGTCACAGTTGCGATGGCTTGGGCATGTGTTGCGAATGGCTCCAGAAAAGAAGACTAAGCAACTGTTCCTTGCAAATCCGACCGGTAAAAGGCCTGAGAGACGGCCAAGATTAACCTGGTGCAAACATATGGAAGGAGTCTGTTCCAGACTGCATTTGTCCGTTGCCAAAGCTCAGACTCTGGCACAGGATCGAGAACGTTGGAAGCACTGTCTGACGCGTCTGCCTCCGCGACCCGAAAGAAGAAGCGGCGATGGAAGAAGAAGAAGAAATATGCATTCGATGGAAATAATTTTTTTGCGACCAGTAGCGTTAGCAGCTAAGATCCGGAAGTTTAAGCCAATACAAGAAGACAAATACGCACACATCTTGACATTGTTGAATCACAAATCCATGGTTTGAACACGTGATCATAGTGTTGTATGAGAGAATAACATGGCGAACTCTTTTATCAGGGTCTCAAGGTCTTAGCCGAGACGCTGGCCGAAATTACGCTCCATCGTCCGATTTGAAAACAGACTTGAGGTGTGCAAACAAATCATTCAAAACACTAGCAATTGAAAAGAAAATAACTGTACGTTTGAAACAACATGAAGTTTCACGCTCATAAAGAAGATATTGATATTTATCATGATATTCATTTTGCATTAGTTGATCACAGGTAGTTATAATATTTGCATGCTCTACAATAGTTCCATAATATTGCGCTGATTACTACTTTGAACAAGTGCATCGAAACAACTCCAAGAACATACATCCGCTCCTATTTTCCTTATTGGTACTGCATGTTGGCCTCCTGTCAACGTTTGCTGCGATTCGGCTGACAAATCAGAGACTCGCCGGTTCGATTCTAACATATACGCTGAACAAACTTGCCTCTCAGGATAGAACCGTAGTAAAATAAAACTTTCCGTCTTGGTTCTACTTCTATATTAAATTAACATGTGTTTCAAACGAACTTTTCAAGTCGTCTAAACATTGGGAATAAATTAAAATGTATCAGATCAAAAAAGTTTAAACAAATTTTAATTAATAATTAAATAATTTAGAAACTGCAAACATCCCTGCAGAAGGAAGAGCACATGTTTTGTAAAAAAATTCACTGATGTCTAGAGAACCAGTTTCCTAATTTCTAAATTTTGTTAGGATGAGCGTTCTTAAAAAAGTTAAGATCATACCTTGCATAGTTTTGTCATTTCACACTCATTGAACTTTGGCGCTGTTTATTTTCATTTTTCGTTGCGACAATTTTCTCTGTGCCGTTCAGAAGAAATGATCTGCCCACCGAACGCATAAACGGATTCTTCGAGAAGGAAAACTTTTTTCGAGTTTTTAATTATAAGCCTGATTTCGGTGAAAGAAAGAGCATTTAAAGCCAGCACAATCCTTACCAAAAGCTGAAATTGCATAAAATCACTTTCTAAAAGATAAATATAACTGGACCATTATATCAAGTATTTTTAAATGACACTTGCTACGAATCCACTAACTCATAGAACCTAAAAATCAAAATATTTTTAACTGTAAGGTCGATGCAAAAGATCCTGTTGCCATTGCGACGTTTGCTAAGTGAATGTCGTGGAGTAATGTACGTAGTTATTCAAATACGGTTAATAGTGTGCGTGCTTTTTATATCTTTCGCGATATTCTTCTGTGGTTTATTAGTTGTTTGAAATTATTTGTATTGTGATAAACGAGGAACTTAAATCGCAAACGACCTTTGTGTATTTCTTCATCAACATCTAATCTTCATTGTCTACACTGTGGAAGACCAGCGAGAGATAAAGAAGATATGGCGAAGAATGTTGCGACGAAGTGTGGAATGATGGAGTCTGTTTTCTTCAACCTCTTTGGTTTGAATTTCTGCCTGGACTGGAACTAAAAAATGCTTTTAAAAAAAAATTTGATTTGAAGTGACTTCGCAAATATTCCTTGGATATAAATGCTGATTGAAGCATTGGAAACCGCTCTCTGCTTTTGTCCTCGTAGTACTGTATGATACACATGAATCATGCTTTACTATAGTATCCCCGTGGCGGCATATTGCTTAAGTGCTGTGCTCGGAAATATGGGATTACTGACTGGGTTCGATTCCGGTAAGGGCAATTTTTGTTCTAATCATGAATTTCTTTGAACAAGAAATTTACCACTTATTCAGTCGTTAGAACGTCGGACTCAGAACCGGTAGGTACCGCGTTCAAGTTCTAGTAGGGGTCACGCGTTTTTTCTTTCCGAAGTTGATAAATGAGCACTACCTGGTTGGAAGGAAATCAGAAACTACACACAACGCTTGCCACATTGCTCTAGTCTCTACCTTAAAAAAATAAGGCACTCCTGGCTGATAGCATAGAAACGGAGATTAGCTCCGTTTCATCCATCAGCTTCATGAAAAGAAGGTCGTCACGGCAGCCTTGTTAGCACAGTGACGGACATCTCAACAGTTGTAGACCTTGTTTTATATTGTCCCCTGAGAAAAATTCATTGATGTTCAGGTACTACGTGAAAATCGAACGATGTTTTTTCCAGACACTGGCATTGTTGCTATTTTAAATAACTGGGCCCGCAGTTGTTTGGGCAAGATATTTGATATTCGATACGTGTTTGTTTCCCTTTTGAACTGTCAAGTGTGTTAGTTACGTCCTATTTAAATGGCTCCTGGATAATTAGGTACAAGAGGCTGTGAAATCTGGTGTTTCAAGAGTCATTCGTTATTTGACATATTCAGACGGTGTTTACGTAGTAACGTATGAGAAGTACCAGCTCCTCAGATGTCGTTCGTGAGGAGCAGAAAATAACTTTAGCAGACAATGTGATGCGGGATACTCACATCTATCACTGCAGGTACTTTAATACCTTGAAGATGTGTCCTGCTTAAATTTCCTCCCGGGCAATTTGGGGCAAATACAATACGCCTTAAAATCTAGTCACGTAGGGGTTATGTGCCAGTTTGCAGTTTCAGTTGCTGGCTCATCGCTCGTTTGTTGCTTTACTGCTTGGAGACAGAGTTGTCGTCTCGCACTTCACAACTTGTTGTGCAGTGTCTCGCCAGAGGCACACTTGTCGATTTTCAGCGTCTGCAATCGGCTTGTTTACGTGGGCGCCTCCGGCTGGCAGACTCCGCACATTCTGGCGCCTCTCTGGGCTTGCGCTTATGCCGAAGCTATTTTCACAGAATCGTTTTTTAAAAATAAGTTTTGAAATCTACGTCAGTACTTTAGTTTTCAGATCGAAAATTGAATGCTATGCCAAGCAAAGCGCATATCTGATGTAATTTGAAACTTATTAAGCTAATGTTTTATTACGGCAAATTGGGGGGAGGGGGCGATTATGGTTTTCTTGATCATTTATGATGACCATAGTATAGCAGCGAATTGCTTCCCGGCAATAGGTGTCTGTACGTTATAAAGACCGACGTAGGGTTAGGAAATGCCAGATGT